CTTTGGAACGTGGAATCTAGGGATGATGGAGAAGAAAATAAACACCAGCAGGCTGCAAGCAAATTGAGCAATTGCCTAGAATCAGCACTGCTGTCTGCATTTATTTTTATATGATGGCAGGTCAGGTACAAGGTTGAGTCTGGGGATGCTGATAGTTGCTGTTGATTCGATTCTGACTCATGGTGGCCCTATGTGTGCAGAGTAGAACTACTCCATAGGATTTTCAAGGCTGTGAACTTTCGAAAGTTGATTGCCAGTTGTCTTCTGAGGCACCTCTGGGTGGGTTTGAACCACCAAACTGGTGGCTAGTAGTCAAGCATTTAACTATTTTCGCCATCCAGGGACTCCTGAGTCTGGAAATAGAACTAATGAAATGTATAGAGTTTTCATTCTAGAATATGTGCTCATTCTCCATGAATCCTTTTGTAGTCTTTTATAAATCCCCAAATTAAAGAACTCCTTTCTCTGACATATTGGTGTAGATAAATATGCGCTGAATACACCTACTTCAAGATTGCAGTCACGTTTCTGAAGTGCAAAGTGAGCAAAACCAGGATGGCAACCTCCCTGGCCAAGTATCATTCTTACAAATCCTATCGTCATCTTCATGCGCTGCTGTTACGAGAAGGTGGCCCCACCCAAGGGAGAGGTGGTTACTGGTGGCAACTTAATCTCTGGCAGAAACTTGCTGGATCTTTTCCTGGGCTCAGAAGCCTCAGGAGTTATCATTGCTCTGTTAGTGTCTGTACTTTGAGTTGAGTACTCCAAGTATAGTATTCAAAGTATTTGATTGTTCGTTCTTGATTCAGCTCTGCCATAAACAACAAAAACCTGCTGCTTTTCCAGATGCTTCTTTTATCAGAGCAAAGTACCGTTTACTCCTTGGCACTGCTGTTTAGCTCTGGAGCACAGCATCCTTTCAAAGCTCTGTTCCCTGCATCATAAAGCACACAGGAGTCTAGGCTGCAGTTTTGTTATAGAAAAGTTTGGAATGCAGTGTGACGGGGGCAAGGAGGGTGCAGAAGACAAATGTTATGGATTGACTTGTGTCCCCCCAAAATATATATCAAGTCGGGCAGGCCATGCTTCCCAGTATTGTGTAGTTGTCCACCATTTTGGGATCTGATGTGATTATCCCGTGTGTTGTAAATCCTAACCTCCATAATGTTAATGAGGTAGAATTAAAGGCAGTTATGTTAATGAGGCAGGACTCAATCTAGAAGATTAGGTTGTATCTTGAGGCAATCTCTTTTGAGATATAAAAGAGAGAAGCAAACAGAGAGGAGGGAGACCTCATACCACCAAGAAAGAAGTGCTGGGAGCGGAGCTCGTCCTTTGGACCCAGGGTCCCTGTGCTGAGAAGCTCCTAGACCAGGGGAAGATTGATGGCAAGGACCTTCCCCCAGAGCCTACAGAAAGAGATAAGCCTTCCTCTAGTCCTGAATACAGACTTCTAGCCTCTTAGACTGTGAGAGAATAAAACTCTCTTTGTTAAAGGCATCCACTTATGGTATTTCTGTTATAGCACCGATAACCAAGACAGTGAGTCTGGCAGAAGAGGTCAGGAAATTACAAAAGACCAGGGAGACAAAAGGCCAAGTATCAGGGAGACAAAAGGCCAAGTACCAGAGAGGCAGATAAGGACAGAGGGATCAGCAGGTACTCTCAGGGTCCATACAGATGAGAGGTAGTCAGAGAGCCGGGATGAGGGAATCGGTATGGGTGGGGATAGGCAGACAGCATCCTGGAGGAAACAGCACGGGTGGTTGGAATAGCAGGCTGTCATCCCCTGGCAGTCCTGTTTGCTCTTTGTCCTGTCCCAAACTTTCTTCCAGGGGCTTGGGGTGGGGGGCAGGGACTGGTGCCACAATGGCTTATCCTGAGTGAGCTGAGGGCAGAGAAACTAGGTTACTTCAGAGGCTCCTCCCTTGCTTCCTTCCTTCTGTTTTAATTGCTGGCCACAGATTCATTCATAAGAAAACTAATGGTAGCTCCAGAGGAGTGAAGGGTTTCCAAAGAAACCTCAGCAAAGAAAGAGCTGATGTATAAAGTCTCCTTCACTGAACTGTTAGGTCCTTAAGGACAGAGGCCCCAACTATAAAAGACTTAACCAATAAGGCAAAGTTATAGCTCCCATAATAAAAAGTCTAGAAATAGAACAGTTCCAACCAAAGTAAATAAATAAATAAAACCCGCTGCTGTCGAGTCCATTCTGACTCATAGCAACTCCATGTGTTACCAAGTAGAACTGCTCCATAGGGTTTTCTTGGCTGTAATCTTTATGGAAGTGGATTGCCAGGCTTTTCTTCTGCTGTGCCACTGGGTGGGTTTAAACTGCCAACCTTTAGATTAGTAAAAACCTGTTGCCATCAGTCAATTCCAACTCATAGTGACCCTATAGGTCAGAGTAGAATTGTCCGATAGAGTTTCCAAGGAGGGGCTGGTGGATTGGAGCTGCTGACCTTTCGGTTAGCAGCCGAGCTCTTACCACTGCTCCTGAGCGCAAACCATTTGTGCCACTCAGGTTCCCAGGGGAGGTTAATTCAGTAACAGTTTCTTTTCATCTTTCTGCTCTGCTATCCTGGCTTGTTCTCTTAAATTGGTTTCTCCTCATGATCATAATGTGGCTGCTGTAGTTCGAAACATTACATGAAAATTCAACAGCATTGAGGAATAAAGAGGGACTATTATCTTCCACGTGTCTCTTTTTATCATCAGAAAAACTTTTCTCAGAAGGGCCATAGTACACCTCCTCTCACATTTCATGGGCTAGAATTCTGCTACCTACCCATCCTAAACCAATGATAATGAAATTGTTGGTATTGGCTTAGTCTGATCAAGATTTACCCCCCTTCCCCTGAGACAGGGGAATGGCCCAGCCAGCCCTGAAGCATATGGCTGCTCGATACCAGAACAAAATTTGGATTCTGTTAATGAGAAAAAAGTAGGGGGGGTGGGTAGGGAGGATGGCCGCTGGGTGGGCTGCAAATTTTTCCCACTTAGTCAAAGAAGGGCTTGATTCCTTCAGGATATCCAAACTTTTCTGACGTTTCATGTGAGACTCACTGACTCCAGCCCCCAGAGATATTTGAAGGAAGTTATAATGTTTCTATATCTGTTCCTCTGCTCTTCCTTTCCGATGACCAACACTGTAATTGAAACTCTCATCTGCTCACATCTGAACTCTGACAGCAGTCTCCTAAGCAGCTTCCCTGCTTCTGGTTTTATTCCCACTTGGACCCAGCCTAAACACCATTGCCAGATTAACTTTACAGAACCAGTACTTAATATATGTCCAAACTCTTTAGCCTTTCCATCTAGAACCATTCACTCTTGCAATCCTTGTTTTCTGTCTCCCTCCTAGTATGTTCTTTGAGGGCAAAGATTCTGCCTCATTCATCACTCTATTCCCAGTGGCCAGAACACCTTAGCTTTCTTTCATTCATAAGTTTCATCCATTCAATACATATTTATGGTGTCAGTAAATATTGAATAGGTGAATAAATGATTCAATCAATGAATAAATCTATGATCTGGTTCTTACCAATTTACTTTTTTTTTTCTTTTCTCACATGAATCATTTGTTCAAAACCCACTCATTGTTTCCTGAACATCGTGTACATTTGCCACATCCATGATTTTGCTCAAACAATTTTTCTGTTTGGCAATACCCTTTACTCTACTCTGATAATCAGAGACTTACATATCCCTGTGAGGCGAAGCCAAGTCCCACCTTCAGTGTGAGCTTTTCCTTAATTATCCAGGACTCCACTGACCTACTCTCATCTATGATTTTTATGGTCTGCATCTATTTAGCACATAACATTTGGTAGTATGGTTTTTCTTTTTAAGTATATATCCTATCTGTCCAATTAAATTTTAAATCCCTTAATAACATGAATTCTGTTTATACCTGTTTTTCCTTCCACTACCTAACCTAGTACTGTTGTTGTTGTTGGGTGCCAATGGATCAATTTCAACTCATAGCATCCCAATGTGACAAAGCAGAACTATCCTATAGGATTTTCTAGGCTGTAATCTTTACAGGTGTCTTGGAAGAAGTACAACCAGAATGTTCCTTAGAAGGAAGGATGACGAGACTACGTCTCACATACTTTGGACATGTTGTCAGGAGGGATCAGTCTCTGGAGAAGGACATCATGCTTGGTAAAGTACAGGGTCAGCGAAGAAGAGGAAGACCCTCAACGAGATGGACTGACACAGTGGCTGCAACAATGGGCTCAAGCATAACAATGATTGTGAGCAAGGCACAGGACCAGGCAGTGTTTTGTTCTGCGGTGCATAGGGTCTCTATGAGTCAGAACCGACTTGATGGCTCCTAACAACAGCAATCTTTACAGGAGCAAATGGCCAGGTCTTTTTCCCACCGAGCTGCTGCCTGGGTTCAAACCACCAACTGTTTGGTTAGCAGCCGAGCGTTTAACCATTGTGCCACCAGGGCTCCTGTAATCTGGTACTAGAAGCTCTCTTTCCGTAAACATTTAATAGTTTCTAATGATGGTTAGTTAGATATTTAGCTTTGATATAATACATCATAAAAGGTCTAGGTCTTTTTTTAAACTTAATTTAGGTTATAACTGAATAACAAAGCTGTGAAAATTTGAGAGTAATTAATATTTCCATCAGATTTTGTCCTAACATATGTATACACATGTACACATATACACATTTACCAGAATATACACAGAGCCACAGTTACAGATGGTTGTTGTGCTGTGTTGACGTACTACAGCTCAATTTTTAAAGGCAAATATGACAGTGCCTTCCAGGACACCTGTGTTCACATGGGCAGTTCTTTGAAACTATATTTGGATGTACAGGCTATTAAAAGCTTCTTGTACTGAGTGACCTTCCAGGCAGAATTTAGATCGAATGCCCATGCTACTACTGCCTGTTGCTGAGTGGAAGACGGCGGAAAACCCTGGATTCAAACCTCCACTGGGTTTTTGTTTTGTTTCGTTTCATTTTGCTTTAAGAAGATGAACAATGAAACCACAACACTGATATCCTTGAAGGAGGCAATGAAAAGGTCGCTAAGGGCTACAGGGAGGGACTAAGCGTGGGTCTGCTTTTCTGGGAAGATGGGTAAGAGAAGCATGAAGAATAAAAACAGGCAAAGAGCTACAGATGTGCTAATTAGATTTCTGCCTCTGTTAATGCAGTTCAAGTCGTCTAGGTTAAAAGTATGTAAATTAAAAATAAAGTCTACTCCCAGGAGCTATAATTCCATTCAATTTATTGAGTACCTACTATACATTGGATACAAAATGCCAGGAATACAAAAATAACTAAAATACAGTTTCTGCCATTAAGGAGCTCACAGACTGTAGGAATGACAGATGTATTAAAAAGTAAATATGATTTAATGCAACTGACCTTATAATGGTGCTGTTCCTAAAGTGTTATGGAAACATGAAGGAGCATCAGTTAATTTTGTCTTTGACACTAGGGAAAGCTAGCCTTCCTAGAGGGGCATTTAAGCCAGTTATTAAGGAGTAGGAGTCTTCAAGGAGGAAAAATATGGAAAGAAATTCCATAGGCTGAGGAAACAGTAGAAGTAAGCCGTAGAGGCTTGGAATTGCGTACTGTACTCAGTCATCGACTAGATGGCTCACATGATGTGTGAGAGGTCTGGCAGAAGATGGCCCAAAGGGTAAAGGGCTTTGTAGTCCTTGCTGAGGAAATCTAACTTGGCTCTGCTGATATAGGGGTGACATAAAAGGCATATAAGCAGTGGAATTGCATGATTAAAATTGTGTTTTAGAAAAATATTTCTGGAGGATGGATCAGAGATGGCAGAGACTAAAAGCAAGGGTCCAGTTAGGCTATTGTAATCCTAGGTCCTGCTAAAAGATGAAAAGGAACTGGCTTAGTGGGGATGGATTAGAGAGACATTAATGATGAGGAAGAAAAACAATGGTGAGGATTATTCTGAGATTACTAGTTGAAGAAACTAGATAGATGGGGGTGCTATTAATTGAGCTGGAGCATTGTTATAGAAAACAGGCGGCACTCAGATTTGTAGACATGTTGTTTATGTCTTATTCGGAATGGCCTGGGTATGTCTTTTGTTGAGAGGATTCCAAAGAACTGTTGCAACTGTAAACTTTTATACTGATTGACAAGCTACAGTTCACCTCTAGAGTTCAAGCTAAAGATGACCCATGAGCAATTGCTAAACAGATAATACAAACAATATGCCAGATGGCATGATTTGGACTATGAGACAGAGACTGCTGGTATATTAGATCATGCAGACTTAGACTCCTGCAAAACACACACTTCATACTGAGCCTTAACTATATGTAAATAAAATCCAACACAGTGAGAATATTCCACCACAGGAGTCTAAGCCATTTCTGATGGTGGGGAAAATAGTTGGTTCAACTTAGAACAGGTGGAGATGTGCAAAAGAGAGCTGAAAATAGAAGTTTAGAGCTCAGGTGAGAGGTAGTAACTGCAGCTGAATTAGTTGTAGGAGAAATTTCAGACCAAGAAGAGAAGATGGCCAAGGAGGGAACCCTGGGCAACTGCAGAGGTATCCAGGTCACTGGGGACATGGAAGCTCAGGGAAGTGTGTTTGTGTATCCCTTCCTTCGTGAAAGACTATCTGGGTGGCTTCAGCCAAGTGAGTTCTGGCGCTCCAGTTCTTTGTGTTTCGAGTAGGCGTAATTCCAGTGCTATAGCGCCCTCTGATGAGCAGGGCTGGTGAGAGCTACTCAGATCCCCATGTTGGGTTACACAGCTCAGCATCTCATTCACATCACAGATGTCAATCATACAAAGAATATTTTATTACTTTTGGGTAAAGCCTCTGTTAGGTGTTGGGGAATGGGCGTAAAGATGTCCAAGAAATAGTCTCTGGTCCCCTCCCCCTAAAAGCATATAATTTGATGAAAAGCTAACTCTAGAAATAAAGCAGGATGCAGGGAGTGACCAGTGGTTGAGGCAGTCCTTGTGAGGGAGAGATTGGAGGGTGAGGAGCTCTTCAGGTAGAGAGGCTGGGGGATTCAAGGAGGAAGTGGGATTTGAGCTAATCCTTGAAGGAAGAATAGGATTTGGATAGTCTGAATCTGGTGGAGAAAACTACCTTATTCAAAACCTGGCCTCAGCACTAGCTAGCTATATGACATTAGGTCTCAGTCTTTTTGAGGCTCAATTTCTCTATCTGAAAAATGGTAAAAATGACTGCTTAACTTCTTGTTGTTATTATGAGAATCAACTACAGTAATGCTTGTATAAAATATTTTTAAAAGTGTGAATAACAATACAAAGACAAGATATGGCAGATAATTTGAGAAATTCAACAATTAAATAACTTTTTGAATTTTTTATTTTATCTGAATACAAGGAATTATCAAGGAACACAAAGAATGAAAGAACTAGGATGGTGGCTAGAGGGAATGACAAACGGGAACATCTGTTCACAATTTTAAATTGAAGTAGTTACCCCAATACAGTAGTGGTTGTCTTCAATGTCTTAGAACCTTCTTTTAAGGAAAAAACCTCACCTGACCTAAACTAACCCTTAATTCTTTTATTCTATAGAGTAGACGACAAACTCCAAGCTTTAGAAGCACAATTCAAAGAACTGGACTTCGCCAAGGATAATCTGACACAGAAATTTGAATATCATAGCCAGACTTTGGCAAGCCAGGCAGCCCAAGAAGAGATGTGGAGAGCAGTTCTGGCCCTCAAGTGAGTATCCAGTGAGAAATCGGTGGGATTTTGTGGCTTTGTGAGAGCTTGCATTGGTCATTCCAGAATTTCTTAATATGCTTCCAACAATGGATTCTGAAGAAATGACATTTTCTCAGGTTCATTCATTCAAAAAAAAGTTTGAGAGCCTATTTATATGCCAGACACTATGGTACACACCTCCTCACAGAGCCTCTTGCTTGCCAAAGTCTTACTAACACGGAGATGGATAATATCACTCCCCCGTCACCGAGGAACTTATAGTATGGTGGCCGGAGAGCTAGGCTGTCCAGTTTAGTACGGGCTCTATTTCTAAACTAAGTATTTTCTAAAATACAACAGCTAGTTTTCCTGGTGGGTTTGTACGTCTTTATGTTATCCTAATAGAGTCTATTCTCTGTTTGTACATAAAGAGTTCTACTGTTTAAGAAGTTCTCCACTTTTTTTATAGGTTCACTTCAGTGGAACTGAATATTTTGTACAGCTATGTCATTGAAGTACTCATCTGCTTACACACTTGTGTACTTGAGAAGCTGCCAGACCTGGTGAGAGGTCTTCCTACCTTAGCCTCTGTCCTGAGACGGAAAGTCAAGAACAAGCGCATCGGAGTTGTGTGGGAGTCTGTCCTGGAGGAGTTTGGGCTGCAAGAAGGAGATATCATAGCACTGTGTACCTTCTTTATTGCACACGGTAACAAGGCAGAGCACTACCCTGCTAAAGTGAGACAGACGTCCATCAGGGACGTCACTTTACTGATCACTACCATGGTGAAGAACCAGGCTCTGCAGGATGGTTTGCTGAGGGCTGTTCAGGTAACTGAGAAGGGGAAAGCAGCCAGGGCCTCCAAAGAGCAAAAGTCATCCCTAAAAGAGTTGATACCATCAGTTAAAAACTAACCTGACACCCTATCACCTAGCAAATCCACTTCTAGTAATTTATTTTGCAAATGGGAGGAAAAAAAAGTATGTGTAAATTTATTCATTAGAGATTTATTTTTATAATAAAAGTGAGGGGAATGTTAAAGAAATTGAGATAATTCAATACAATAAATACTTTCTGTATAGCCATATAGGAGAATGAAGAAGCTGTTTGTGTAATGATACGGAGTTATCACCAAGAGGAATTGTTTTTTTAAACAAAGAGATATATATATATAGTCTTGTATATCCATAAACTGCTTCTGGAGACATACATAAAAAAATAATAAAATTGGTCATCTTGGAGAGGAATACTAAGAGGCTAGGGGTCAAAGGTAGGATGGAATTTTTTCACTGTTTATCTATTTTGGATATTTTAAATTTTGAAACCCTTGAATGTATTACCTATTTAAAAAATAAACAATAAAAAATGCCTAACATATATAATAGGGAACCTGGGTGGCGCAAGTGGTTTGCAATGTGCTGCTAACGTAAGGTTGGTGCTTCGAACCCACCCAGTGGCACCATGGAAGAAAGGCCTGGTGAACTTCACAGTAAAGATCATATCCAAGAAAACCCTATGGAGCAGTTCTACTCTGTAACATGTAGGGTCACCATGAGTTGGAATTGACTCAATGGCAACGGGTTTTTTGGTTTAACATGTATCGAGAAACGCTATAAATTGTATGTTGATGTATACTTTATCTCTAGTACAGTGCCTTAGTTATTTATACTGGAAAGGGAACGCTCGCACATTGACCATTTATTTATCATATTTACTGAACACCTAATGCCATGTGCTAAGTGCTGCGAGTAATAGAAACATTTAAAAATGTGGACCTTGTCCTCAAGGCAAGGATTAAGTGTTGATGCTTTATTTGGGCGGTGCAAATTTAGGGCAGCAGAGTGAGGAAACAGGGAATTTAGGCAGGGAAGGATGAGAAGTAATAAGTAATAGCATTATCTTGCTGCCCCCCCCCTTCAAGATGAGCCATGAGAGACACAGCAGATTGCTCACTGGGTACAGCCACTCAGTCTCGTCCATCTCCAGATTCATTGTTTGTGGAAACCATGCCTTGGAAGGAAGACGGAGAGGGAATTCATCTGTATTCCTTGCCCACTCTACTGTTTTAAACTCATCAAAATTTGCTCCATGGGAGTTACCCCTCCCACCCCATAGTTCTGAACTACTCCCAACCCAGAAAACCACTCCACAAAAATAGAAGAGAAAGAAAAGTTTTATTATTGAATAAGCATCAAACCAGAATGTGATGTATCACAGGCAATCCGCTAAAGAGATTTGCAAAGACAGGAATAAATCTTGTCCTTTATATAGCTGAGTAGATACAACTTATTACTTTCACATTTAAGATAAGATTGCTGATTTTCTAATATCTTTATGGCAAGATACCTAAAGTTATGCTAATCTCCTTCTAGGAAACTGGGAGGGAGAGGTGGGATCTTCCTTGATGATTACATTTCAAGAAAGATGGCTCCCAGGTCCTTGAAGAAACATCCTTGATTTACATAATGTCTTAGTTATCTAGGGCTGCTATAACAGAAATACCAAAAGGAATGGCTTTAACAAACAGAAATTTATTCTCTCACAGTTTAGGAGGCTAGAAGTCTGAATTCAGAGCACCAGCTCTTTCTCTCCATCGGCTCTGGGGGAAGGTCCTTGTTTCCTTTCAACATCTGTGGGCCCAGCATTCCTTGGAGATCTCCACGCGTCTTGGCATCAATCTTCCCCTAGGTCTAGGAGGTTCTCAGTGCAGGGACCCTGGTTCCAAAGGACGAGGCCCCTCTTCCTCTGCTTGCTTCTCTCTCCTTTTATCCTTTGTAAGATAAAAGGTGTGACTTAAGCAAGGGTGTGACTTGAGTAAGGGTGTGACTTGAGAAAGTGTGGTGCCACCGCACCCTAATCCCACCTCATAGAGGTTTTAGGATTTACAATGCATAACATGGAGGATAGTTAGATAATATCACAAAATGGACGATAATTACATCAGGTTACAAAATGGAAGACAGCCACACAATACTGGGAATCATGGCCTAGCCAAGTTGCCATATACTTTCGGGGGACACAATTCAATCCATGACACATATTTTTCAGAAAGACAAAGATTCTACCATTAGAAGTTATCTAAAGTGAATTCTGAAAGAACAGGGGTGGAGGGGAGCCTCTTCCTTTATTTTCAAAAGGAGAATTAAAACCTCTTATTTTCAATTTGTATTTTTCCTTACGATGACTGGGTGAGTTTAGAGGAGGGAGTATCACTGTGTGATCTGAGAAATGCTTCCTGGAGGAAATGCATTGAATTGATCCTTGAAGTAGACAAAGTCACAAAGCAACCAATTTAGGATGAAACGAGAAAGAGAAAGCAGTGGAGTCCTGGTGGCGCAATGGTTAAGAGCTTGGCTACTAACCAAAAGGTTGGCATTTCTTGGAAACCCTATGGGGCAGTTTTACTCTATCCTATAGGGTAGCTGTGAGTCAGAATCGACTCAACGGCAACTTTTTTTTTCTTTTTTTTTTGAGAAAGCAATGGCATGAAAGCAAAAGATGTAGATGACAGTGAGTAGGCTATGACTGAATCAAGTTCTGTTTAAAAGAATGGTACACACCACTGAAAAAGCAGATTGGGGCTATATTAAGGAGCCTGGAATACCAAGCTAAAGTATTGATATTACAGACAACTGCATGACAACCAAAGTTTCCCAAACCCACATTAAAACAAAACAAAACCTCTCAAAACTCTACCAAGGACTCACACACTTCCTTGGTTTAATGTGGAAACCACTCCTGTCCCCAGTCTGAATGCCCACAGCAAACCCAAAAGACATTAAAGACTACTGTCATGCAGACGCTTGTCTTTTCTCTTCCTCCACACCTATTTAACATTTCCTCAGAAAACTTCCAGTTGCTGTAGAGTGGATTCTGACTCATGGCAACCCCACGTGTTTCAGAGTAACACTGTGCTCCATAGGGTTTGGTGGCCCAGTGGTTAAAATATTGGCGGCTCACCAAAAGGTCGGAGGTTCAAACCCATCAGCGGCTCCAGGGAAGAAAGATGTAGCAGTCTGCTTCTGTAGAGATTTACTGCCTTGGAAACCCTGTGGGGTTACTATGAGTAGGAATGAACTCCACCGCAGTGGGTTTGGTTTGGATTTCCATAGGGTTTATCAATGGCTGTGACCTTTCAAAAACCTTAGGCCTGGTTCTTACATACTAGGGCTCAGACTATTTACTCCCCTCATTTCCTCGCTGAAGTTTGCATTTTTTCCTAGAACTCAATTTTACAGAATTAGTTGTCACTTCAAAAACTTAGTGCCAAAGTGGAAAAACTTATTCAAAATGTAATAAAATATGAAACTACTTTTCTGATAGCCTCCTTTAAAAGGCTGCCTCTTCCAGATTGAGTGTATTATAAATGATGCGCATGACCCGGATAAGCTCCGCAGTTTCTCTCTCAAGCAGATGGGCCTGACGCCATTAGGATGGAACGCAACCCTAAAATGACCCATCTGTGGGCTGCAGACTTTAAGAAGGCGCTTTAAGGCCCTGTGCCTGTTAAATTGTCGCAGGTTTGGGGATCAATCCTTCTCGGCAACACTTTTCTGAGAACTTTGGAAAGCGACCTAAGGGGCTTAGTTATAAATTAACAAACAAAAGATTGAGGAGTACTGGGGGAAGAATAAAATAAACATTACTGCTCGAGTTTGTAATGTTTTGAGATTTCCCCTCTCCTCACAACACCCCGGGATTCTGCAGCCTCGGGTTGCAAAAAGCGCAGAAGACGGTCAGACCTCCACCCTAACTGAACAAGGAGAAGCCTCCTGTCAATCGCTTCCCCCAGGAAGGGGCGACTCTCGGGAAAGAGCGGGAACCGGGGGCTGCAGCGCGAACAAGGGGCGGCAGCGGGAACACGGGGCAGGACCGAGCGGCGCGCGTAGGCCCGGAAGTCCCGCCCGGCTGAACTTCACAAGCCTCAGTACTCGGTTCTGTGGGTGGGAGGTGCCCTTTTTGGCGGGCAGTCGTGACGTCACTTACCCTTGTGGGGGTTGCTACGGCACCACCGCAACAAATAGGCTTTTAGGCTCGCAGAAGGGAGGGGAGGGGCGTGGCACGGAGCATCCGGAAACGGCGCGAAGCGCTCGAAAGCTGGAACTCCCGGGCTCGCGCGTTGCCACCGTAGCAACGGTAAAACGGAAGTCCAGCTCCAGCCGGAGCCCGGTGTCCGGGCGGAAACAGTGTTCTTCCTGGAGCGGTGACCCGGTACCTTCGCGCCTTGGCAGCTTTGGGCTTTGATGCCCGGAGCTAAGAGGGAGCACCCTCACCTGGTAAAAGGGAGAAGGAGAATTTGGCGCGTACCTCTGCCGCCCCGGGAAACCAGAGCCCACTGTCAGCACTGCCGCAACGGCGAAAACGTTCATTTATTTTCTTATACGACTTTTGTCTTGAAAATGGACTGATACATCGTTATACAACGTATTACTGTGTATCCAACTCTGACAGCTCCTTTTTGCTACGTTTGATGCTCATCTCTGAATTCTGGTACGCTGCTGGGCATAATATTCTAGCACAAAACTGTTTTCTTTTTCTATAGTTGGGCCGAAAATACGATTGCTTTTCTTTCAGGTGCTGATGTTGAATAGCTTTCTTAGCATATTAAAATGGCTGTACCTAAAGACGCCATCCCTTCCTTGTCGGAATGCCAGTGCCAGATCTGCGTGGAAATCCTAATCGAACCCGTAACTCTACCTTGTAACCACACACTCTGTAATCCATGCTTCCAGTCGACTGTTGAAAAGGCAAGTTTATGCTGTCCCTTCTGTCGTCGCCGGGTCTCTTCGTGGACTCGGTACCATGCCCGAAGAAATTCTCTTGTCAATAAGGAACTGTGGGAGATAATTCAGAAATACTACCCAGAAGAATGCAAACTTAGAGCCTGTGGACAAGAATCACAGGAAATTGGTGAGTAAAACTCAGCGTGTTTACTGGTCCAAAAAAAAAAAAAAAACCCTTTAAATAGTGAATCACCACTTCTCCTTTTAAAAAAAGAAAAACAAAAACCATTAGTATTTGGCCAGATTGTGCTGGGGGGTTTGAATTTTATGGTCCTCAAAATGTCTCTTGAGGTCAAGGGCAAGATTTTGTTCATTGTTATTATGCCTAAGCAGTGGAAATTTTATGAATTGTATTCATTGTATGCATTATATGCGTGTTGTCGTTTAGAGCTTCAGTCTTATGAAAAATTACATAAATATTCACACATGAGCAATGCAACAACAGTCAGAGTAAGGAAACTCCAGAATTCTTGTGTTAATATTTCTTTTATTTGAATTACTTTCTCTGAGTTTATTTGACTGTACATCTCCTTTCATTTAATTCTTAAGCTTGCAGCGAGCCGAAAATAGCTTTCTGGTACCATCTAGTTCAGTCATTTTTATTCAAAGCCCTCCACAGTGTGGACTCGGCAGCTATTCAGTGTGCCCCAAACTGAATACTTGACTCCAGCTGCTTGCCTCCACTGATGTGATCAATAAACCATGCAGTGTTTCCTGTCTAGTCTTTCAGTGTGGGGCCTGTGGGCTGGTGTACCCGACTTTTCATGCTCTGAATGCATTTATGCATCTCAAGTGGCTTGTAAAATGCTAAGAAACTAGGTATTTAAACAGCTCTAGAGAATTACTTTGTAAAACAAGTCATCGCCTGATTTACCTATTTTTAATGAAGTTGAATTTTTAGATATTGGGTTTCTTTCTTGTTTTAGAAGGGAAAAGTATCATTTGTAATGCGTGAAAGCTAGACTGAGAATTATTCTTCATATGAAAAACATTAGCAGTTGCCAAATGCTAAAATCAGCTCTCTTCTCTTGCCTCAGAAAGTGCTGATTCAGTGACGCATCCAGATTTTGAGAGAGAATTGGCCAGTAAACATAAGCTTGCTTTACTTATTTTTATTGTGCTTTAGGTGAAAGTTTGCAGAGCAGATTAGATTCCCATTCGATAGTTGGTACATAAAGTGTTTCATGGCCTTGGTTTCATTCCGCATAATGTGTCAGCATTGTCCCCATTTCCGCTCTGGGTTCCCCATTTCCTTTTGTCCTGATTTTCTACCCCTTCCTGCCTTCTCATGTTTGCTTTTGGGTAAATATTGCCCTTTTGATCTCGTATAATTGATTGTTCTAACGAGTATGTTCTTTGGTGTTACTGTTTATCTTATGCGCTTGTCTATTGCTTGGCTGGGAGATGGTCTCTGAGAATAGCTCATAAGCTTGTTTTTTAAAAATTTATTTTGCAAAGTGATCATGTCACTCGTAGTTAAGAATACATCACTGAGATGTTGGGAAGCTATACTACAAAATAAATCATGACTTATTATGTTAAAAAAATTTTAATTTACTGATGATCAGGAATTCTCATATTTAAATATAAGCTGGAGAAATGCATTTCAGGACCAAAAATGATACATGAATTATCCTTATTGCTTAGAATAAAATTGTTATACTTTGTTACAGAATACAACAAACATTGTTACATAATGTTCTTTATACTAGAGTAAGGATTCAAATGTTGATTGTATAATTTTCTCCTTGAAATGCTTATGCATTTCTCTGTGCTGTATTATCATTTGATTATCCTTTGCTTTGTGTTATTTGTAAAATTTTCTATTTCCAAGACTTGCCAATGTTTAACTAACGTTAGAGTGTCTAATACATTGCAAGTACTGTGCTGGGTTCTGTAAGGAATAAACTTTGTCTTTTTATGCCCACAGTAGAAGCTAAATACATTTTTATTAATATGAAATATATTTTAGACCCTACAACAGTCATTAGAGTACAAAACACATAGTATGTCTGTATAGTCATTTTTTAAAGTACAGTAATTTCTAGTGTATCCACACCCACTTGCATACCCATCAGCACCCATCAGGACAATCACTTTTAGATCATTTTCATCACCGCAAAAGGAAATTCTGTACCCATTAGCAGTTGCTCTTCATTCCCCCCTTCCCTACCCACTAGCAACCACTATTCTACTTTCTGTCTCTTTAGATTTGCCTATTCTAGACATTTCATATAAATGGAATCATTCAATATGTGATCTTTTGTAACTGGCTTCTTTCACTTAATGTTTTCAAGGCTCATTTGTGCTATAGCATGTATCAGTACTTCATTACTTTTTATGGCCATATAATGCTCCATTGTATGGATATGCCACATTTTATTTACCTATTCATCACCTGATGGGCATTTAGATTGTTTTCACTTTTTGGCTATTGTGAATAATGCTGCTGTGAACATCATGTACAAGTGTTTGTGTGGACATATGTTTTCATTTCTCTTGGGTATATATGTGGGAATGGAATTGCTGGGTCATATAGTAACTCAGGAGCCCTGATGCAATGGTTAAGAGATTCACTGCTAACTAAAAGGTCGCAGTTCGAATCCACCAGCCGCTCCTTGGAAACCCTATGGGGCAGTTCTACTCTGTCCTACAGGGTTGGTATGAGTCGGAGTCAACTCGACGGCAATGTGTTTGGTTTTTGGTTTTGATTTATAGTAACTCAGTGTTTAACTTTGAGGAACTGCCACACTGTTTTCCCAAGTGGCTGTGCCATTTTACATTTCTGCCAGTAGTATATGACGGTTCCAATTTTTTCCACAGCCTTACCAACACTTGTTAGTGCCTGTCTTTTTTATTAAATCATCCTAGAGGGTGTGAAGTGGCATCTCATTGTGGTGTTGATTTACATTTCCCTGATGAGTAATGATGTTGAGCATCTTTTCATGTGCTCACTGGTCATTTGTGTCTCTTCTTTGGAGAAATATCTATTCAGATCCTTGCTTGTATTGTATTTTATTTATTTATTTTTAATGACTTTTTTTAAAAATTTATTTTATTGTACTCCAGGTGAAGGCTTACAGAACAAATAGTTTCTTATGAAACAGAAGTACACATGTTGTTTTATGACATTGGTTAACAACCCCAC